TTGGAACTTGAATAAGAACCATGGGGTACTCGTATCCAGATTTCTCAACGTCGTCTGACTTCAAAGAATCCCAATCTATCCTGGGCTTAATTTTCTTGAACTTTATCCACAAGCAACCAACGCTAAGTATCATACGGTCTATGGATTGGATAAGGAAAAGGACGACACAAAATTTAGAAAGTGCTTGAATTGCAGGTGCAATGTAATCAGCCCGAAACGTTAACCAGGCAACATAAACCATGTGGAGCAAGCTTTGTATATCAGAAGTTCCAGGGATGTGCAAACTTGGGTTCCTAAAATAATGCCAACCTTTGAAATATGCAACAACCTCAAAAGCCAGAATTGCAAGGGAAGTCACTAAGAAGACTCTTATGACTGTAAACAGTAACCTTTGCTTTCCCAACTTCCCACTCTCCATAGCTACACCTTCCCTATAGATTAACCTCTTCTTAATGGTACCAAGCAATGCCCAGAAGATTGTGGCAAGCCAAGAAATGCAACTGACAGCACGATGAACCTTAAGAAGCAGGACCCATGTGACTTGCTTGGCATTTTTTCCCCTGCTCTTATCAACAGGCCTGAATGCAGCATCAGGACCATCAATCTCCACAACAGAGAAATTGGGGTTCTCCATTGTCACGACCACTGGTGTTCCCTTATTGGTGTCTTTTGCCCAGAAATTGGAAAATTCCAATCTTGGAGCCATTTTCTCACACACAAAAACACACAAAATAATTTTTTTTGAAAAACTATGAAGAATATAAGAACCCAAAGTCCCAAATTTTACAAAAACCAAGAGAAACTCTAAAACCCAGATCTGAAGACAGAGAAATGAGCAAAACCCATTTCAGGACCAACCATAAAAAACTCAACTTTACCAATGAAAACTCAAAGAAGTGAAGAACCCATTTCAAGGCTCTCCATTCTACACAGAATGCAGCCAAGAAAAGCCAAAAAAGAGAAGTGTGGGAGGTTGGTTCTTTGTACTCTCTCAAAGGCACTCAAGAAAACACAGAGCACGGGAAAGCCACATTATGAGGGAAGGTATCTGCCAATCTGCAGCTGTAATAGCCGAAACGCCATGTGGGGTACTTGTCAAGTAAGCCCATCAAGCTCAACCCTTGCTTTAAACTCCCACAAATATATTACCATTCGGTGAAATATTTTTGATTTTCAGAATCTGCTTAAAAGCTCACAGATTCTTCCTAAATAAGTTTCAAAAATGCACAGCAGAGTTCACTGGTAAAACATTGGAGACTGATTTGACTATAAATAAGCATCCCATTGTTTACTGAATCCAGGTGTTGACTCTCAGTTGTTATTGTAATTGAATATCATAGACAAATCAGGAGCTAAACATGGTCACAAATCACTCTTAAGAGTTAATACAATTACAATTTTGTTAAAAAAATAAAAAGGAACCAAAAAAAGAAAGAAGGAAAATTTTAGTTAAGGGAACTGTTACACAGAGGACCCAGAAAATCAACTGCCAAAACAGGCAATAATCTTAAATATACTCCCAACTCTGCACTACAATGGCGGAAATGCCTCACTGTCATTAATTCAACCAGCTAACTCTCTCCCTCTCAAACCACCAACAAAAAAAAAAAACAAAAAAAACCCAGCTAACTCTCACTTTCAATATCAGAGTTTCAGAATAAGATAGTTTTGGTAAAATAATGAGTGTATTATTCTTTTTACTATGTTCTTTTATTCTGTATGACCATTTTCTTTTTCTTTTTTTAAAATTTAAATATGAATATTAATACAAAGAGACAGTGGTTTTAAGGCCCACTGCAAAAAGCCAATGGCTAGCCACCCATGTGATGTGATTGTAACAGATTGTTATTTAGGGTGTAACATTGTAAAGCTTATTCACATTTTAAATTGTATAAATTTAAGAAAATTAATTTTTTTAATTACGATTATTATTCTAAATCTCATTTTTATTAGTTAACTAGTGTTTATTAGGGAATTTTTTTATATTAGCCAACTAATCATAATGACTTAATACAATAAAAGAATGATTACTGGTTGTCTAATTTTAAATTAAAAAAATCCAGAAATAAGTATGATTACTGTGCTAATAAAATGGAATTTCTTTCATTCCAAATTTGCCACATTTTCTCTCAGGGAAAGTGTAAAGTTGTAAACTTTTTTAAATTTGGTTTTCTAAGAAGAAAAAGAAAAGGATTTCACATGTTGTGCTGCCCACAATTTATTAATCTTAACTACTGAGACTTATTTAGCATTAATATTACATAAATCACTTGATACTTTCATTATATGGAATATGGATAGTGCGTTAATTTGCTGTGAATTGATGCTACATTATAGAGATTCACTGAAATAAAAATAAACTTATAAAAAAATCCACAAATTTAATCATTATTTGTTTCTTGTAATAATATTTAGAAGATATACCTCTCCCTCTATTTAAGATAGAGATATTTGCCAACGGGGTTTACCAGTGAATAAAGACCTTAACTTGCAGACTAGTAGTCTCAGGTTCGAATCCACATTACATCATAATAGTGTGGGTAAGAAATTCCCCTCCTCTTAATATAGATTATCATTTGTAATAAATAAAAAACAAAATAGACTCATATTTTTGTTGTTTCATGCATAAACTGTGGATTGTCTCTCAATTATTGTTTATAGATCTGTGTCCATGCATGCATGTGATTTCAAACCGTCTCATCAGATATCAACAAGAAGCCCTTATGAATTTCAGCTACTATGAGCTGGCGAAGTAAGGCCATGCCAATACAACTCATACACTGTGATTCATCACAAATACTATTTTGCATATGATTATTAATTTGTCTTTTCGATTTTGAATTATACGAATTTGTGCAAATTTGTAGGTTTAAAAAAAAAAAAAAACTTTATAACTCAAATGAGTAAAAGCATTTATCCTGCACTCGAATTCATACATTTAGCGGGAAATTAATAAATTAATAAAAGATGGCCTTTCTCATGAAACATATGGGCGGGATAATAATAATATCATGCAAATGTTAGGTCTACCTAAGATTTTCCTAAAAGAAAAGGAAATTCAGATGTTGGCGTCCGTGAACCAACCCGCCAAATTTAATTCGTGATTGACTCGAGCAATGCATATCAGGGAGAAAAAGAAAGAAAATAAAAGATGCAGGCACATAAAATTACATCAAATAAAAAGAGTAAAGGGTTAATCATTTTATTAGTCCTTGAATTTAGAGAGTTTAATTTTAACTTTGTAGTTTTTTAATTTTTTATTCATATTTTAATCAATTTTGATACAAAAATACCATTTTGCCACTGCATTTAACAGAAAAGTTAACAAAATTAATAGCAGGACCATTTGTCATAACGAAACTGAAGTTGAAGGACCACGGGAACCATTTTGGAAATTGAAGTACTCAATTGCGAATTAGGTATAAGTTTAGGGACTAATAAAACGATTACCCCAAAAGTAAATAAAATCCATACACAAAAAGGAAAATAGTAGAGCAAAAGAAACAAGCGTTTTGGGCAGCTCCCTTTGGAGCATCCACAATGGGGAGTGTAAATTCTGGGGTGTAAGAGCATCCACAGTGGGGGGTGTAAATTCGGGGGTGTAAAGCCACTTTTACATCCCATTTACACTTCCGGGGGGTGTAAATATGTTTTTTGCTCTAATGGAATGGTGTAAATTCGGGGGTATAGTCGTGGGTCCCAGCCTTTTATGTTGACTTTTCTTCATTTTTCTTCTCTTTTCTCGAGTGGGTCCCGCATGCAAGGAATGTAAAAATAGATGTAAATATACATTTTATTTTACATCATCATGGTGGTGATGTATATTTACATCTCCCCATTAGAGACGATTCCGGTGACTCGGGGTGTATATTTAACATACACCTTCATATACACCTCCCCACTGTGAATGCTCTAAAGCCACTTTTACATTCCCTTTACATCTCCGGGGGGTATAAATATGTTTTTTGCTCCAGTGGGGGGTGTAAATTCGGGGGTGTAGCCTTGGGTCCTAACCTTTTATGTTGACTCTTCTTTATTTTTCTTCTCTTTTCTCGGGTTGGTCCCGCCTACAATGGATGTAAAAATAGATGTAAATATACATTTTATTTTACATCCCAATAGTGGTGATGTGATTCCGGTGACTCGAGGTGTATATTTAACATACACCCCCCACTGTGAATGCTCTTAGTATTTGGGTTTAGAATCAGACAAGACAACAAGGCAAGCAAAGCACATTTTGCATTAAAATTCACTGCGCCCCCGGAAGGCCACCCAACAGCCCAATTCAATTGTTTTGTCGGCTATGGAGCTAACAAAGCTTGAGTTGGAATACTAATGAAAGTTATAATATTACAGATTTTTCCTATGCGGACATTCGGATGTTATTATCTTGCGTACGCCAATGTATTTTCTATTATTCATCCCTGCTTTTCTTTCTGTTTACAATAACGTCCGCATGATAATAACGTAAGGATGTCCAAATATATATATATTTATGTGCGGTGAGAAGATGGTAAGTCTTAAATTGAAATCTGTTAAATGGAAAAAGAAATTATTGTATTTATTTTCCCTGCAATATTTTGATGCAGTTGTTGGAAAACCCTAGTTCAATTGAAGAAATGGTTTTGGTCGTGCATCAAGTGCTGAAGGGTTCAGTAAATTTGAAGAATTAAAGGGGGATTATAGTCGGATTTCAGAGTCAATTAAACTTGTAAATAGCTGGATGGGTTTTGGATTTGGAAGGCTGGAAGCATCTAGTCTCATCTTCTCAAGGTCATCAGTTTAGATCAACTTGAAACTCTTGATGCTTTAAAATCTTTGTTTTTTATTCACAATGCAATATTCTAGACTACTATAATTTACGTGGAAGAGGATTCAAACTCGGTACAAGTAGGTGGGCAGCCCTGGCCAACTGACCTAATCTAACTGTATGAATGAACAGTGTAATTAAGCCGAATGGTAATCTATCAACATCTTACTCAGCCAAAAGCAATAATTGCAGTATGGGAGAACAACAAAGGATATTATTATTCAAGTGAAGGATGTACTAGCACAACAGGAAAACAAGTGCATGTGCATGGAGGAGCCTGGGAGACCCATTCTGATATAACCTGAACCCTGGAAGATTTTTCTTCTCAAGGGCTAATCTATCCGAAAACACGAACTAGGGTATTTGCTTTCTGTAATACCTAAATTTCAAGATTCAACAAAGTCAACATGAACCATGTATCATTGTTCTTCAAAGAACTAATAGCCATGTTTGATGAAAATAGAAGCAAATGGTAAAAACAGAAAGCAGCTGTTAGCAATCGTATGTGATCTTTCGATATTAATTTCATTTATGATGAGCCTCCACGTCTGAAATCCGCTTCGGGGGCTTGCTCTTCCTTTGCTGATATTTGGCAAATGAATACCAAACTCCGCCAGCCGTGTTGATAACTAGTCCAGTCACATTCAGAAAATGCACTTGCACACCACCCAGTAAGACAAAACCAAGGGTCTGAGAAGCGAAGAAACATGAATAAGTAATTTTGCTCACACATATTTTGCTTTAAAAAGAGGGAGTTCAGTCATACCGTAGAGCCAACCCCTTTTAGGACTCCAACGATAGTTGTTGTTAGAGCAGAGTTGACTATGGTACATAAGAACATGGTGTAGTTGAGAACAATGCCCATAACAAATGAAAGAATAAGGATCACCAAAAAATAAAACGAATTACTCTGCAAATAAAGAAAAACTCTGTGTCAGATATATCTTGTAGGATCTTTTTAAGAGGAAGAAAAATTCAGTGGCACAGCAATAAGCCCCAGGCCCTCAAGAGCAATCTTTACATGGTTACTAATTACATGGCCTGGCAGCCACGCAACTGTATAACCACTCATCCAGAATCCCAAAATATATGCAAAGAACACAAAATCAGCATAATGAGTGGAATAATGCTTTAATAAAACCCCCAGCTCCCACCACATTGCTGAAATTGATTTCACCCGCTGATCTAGGAATCCGTAATGGGGATGCAGGCCAAAAGGAAACTAGGACTTCTCAATGGCTAAATTGCTCAAAGCAACATGTTTAATCAACTATGTTGTCAACTGGAACTTGTAATTTGAAATCCATTATCAGAGTATGGTTTTTATACTTTAACATGTATTAACTCTTTTCTATCATAACTTCAGAAAGAAAGATTAGATGTCAAAGCCTGTAGTCCTTTTCTCAATACAAAACCAACTTTTACTATTTCAGACTCCAATATGTTTAATAAAATGAGATAGGTTGGCGTCCAAAACAGTTTAAGCAGTCAAGCATTTCTTGCTCAAGCATCTACTGTTCCCATAATTATCAAGAATGAATTCAATTACATATATAAAGAAAAGGTTATGGTTCTGACCTTTGCAATTAGTAATAATAAAGAATTTGGAAATTCTCCTGTAGCTACAATGAGAAACATCAAAACTGGAAGAGACAGAAAGCTGTTATAGTACATGATCTCAACTGATGATAGCCCATCCTCTGCCCCAGATTTCTCCACCAACACAAGGTACATGGTCTGATAATTAAGCGCTAGTATGAGTTTAGCTACCATAACATACAATTTGAAGCCAGTAAATAAACCAATGGATAAACAAAAACATCATAACCAACCTGGAAAAAAACAGAAGTGAGAGCCATGCTATATCCAAAAAAGTCAAACGAAAAATCTCCCAGTGCAGCTATCACAACCCCTCCTGCAGTCAATATTACTGAAAGAGACACCTGAAACATGAAAGAGAGGAAAGGGGCAAATAGAACTCGGCATTGTCAAATTAGCAGTAATAAAAATGCTTCTTGCCAGGACTTTTAGCATTAAATTTATCATCTAGAAAATTCCATGAATAACTTTTGCACTTATAACAATAACTCCTGATGTGTGCTAATTTGAAATCAAGCATCCTTTATCTACATTTATAAGATCAACTTATTTATGAAGGCAAACATAATTGTGTCACAAGACAATTTGTTCCATATATGATGCCAGATGTCATCATAGAGACTCTTCAACAGCAACAGTAACTATATTTTGTAAAAGCTGAGAGTACTTACAAATCTAAATGACAAAGTTTAAAGTCTAGTGTTTTACACCTTATACTAAACCTCAAGAATGGAGAAGGGTTGTGGTAAGCACTGAGGAAATGACCCGGCCATCATAATATGAATCAGACACAAAATGCAACTTAGTCTCATCAAACATATCTTAACTTATGAATTGCAGACAACTACTCCCGCACTAATACAAAGTATGTCAAAGAAAAAATATAATGTAGCTTCCATTTTGAATTTGTAGAGTTAGTCAATTTGTATCTTAGGGAATTTTCACATCACATGTTTCCAAGACTAAATAGTATCTTGCCCGTGTTCTAATTGGGGATAAAACAAGTTTAGGGTCAATAGTACTAAACAAAAGAAGAAAGAAAGCATAACTAATCCTTTCAAAATATATACACAATCATTAAGTTTAATAACACAGTAAAACAATCCATTTAAATAAACACAGGCAGGAGTCAAACATCGCACAAGCCGATCCAAAGAAAGACAAGAGGGAACCTGTATTGTGGGTTTCCCCTTTCCTGAGACGAACCCAGCTATAAGCACAGCGAGAGGTGTGAGTCTTTTGATTGCAATATACATGGGAATATTAACTCCCTTCAAACTGGCCAAAGCAAACGCCACATTAGCATTATAGAACAGCGACACTGGGAGAAGTTTTTTCGCAGTGCTCATTTCTAATCCTCTTGACCTTGTGTATCCCAATCTTCGACCAACGTGTATAAGCAAAGCAGTTGCCAATTGCTAAGACAATAAATAAATGAAAGGAGGCTCATTATGAACAACCAAGCAGGAAGCAGCTGCAAATTACTAAGACAATAAAGAAATAAAAAAGGGGGGACATCATGAACAATCAAGGTAGGTCATTGATGGAAATTAAAAGACCAATAGTCCAATGGTAAGTAATACCTGGGCAGTGAGAAGTGTCATTGAATGTGAGTACTCCATAAGAACTGCTTTATTGATAAAAACCATTGCCATGGAAGCAGCCCCATACGACAAAGCCGCAGACAAACTACATTCAAAGACAACAGGGCCGGGGAAATCAACGATTCTACAATTCAAGGCATAGCAAACATGTTCTTCTTTGCTTACATTTCTCATCAGCAAACGAAAAGTTTTTTTGTAAAATCAATATAAACCCAAAAGAAAGCAAAAGGGGATATAGAAAGAGAACCTCAAAATTGAGCTAACTTCTGCATCAGGAAGTTTCTCCATGGCCAAATCTAAGCTTCAAAACACAAATTCTCTATGTTGGTCACTGTGAATATGAGCTGAGTGGCAGTAATTCCCAACTCCAGAGTCCCAATTACATGATAATCCGATGAAATAAACAAATGGGTCCTTTTTTGTTTGACCAAAACCTGCAAATCAATGAAACCCAAATCTTAGCAGTTCGAAAAGAAGGGGTATGGGATGAGACCCAATAGTGAAGATGAAGCGATCCAATTACAAGATTTACAAGATTTACATAAACATTGAGTTGGGTTTTTGGATCAGGGAGAGAGAGAAGGGAAAGCCCGACAAGTAAAGTGAGGAGAGTGTGAGTATGGAGTGCGCGTGAAATGTCAAGGGAGAGAGAGAGACACAGAGAGAGAATAAAAAAAAAAGGAACAGAGGAAGAGAGAGAGAGTAACGGAAAGAAAGGGAAAGGAAATGTGGAAAATGGGAAAGTGGGGAAATGGGGAAATGGAAACCCAGTGAAAGTGAGAAATAGATGGCGAATGAGGCTCCGGCAATCTGCCATGGAAAGCGCGACAGCCATCGACATCAGACGTGGACGTGGATGTCGATTTAGGGTTAAAGATTATTGGATGCTTTCGTTCCTTCATTCGAAAGTTGGCTGGTGGTGGTCTTGTCTCGTGACTTTGGGACGCTGCGCGCTTTTTAAATTTTACTCGTTTATATATATTTTTTCAATTGCGATCTCAACGTTATCGCTTTTACTGTGGTACATGAAAAAATATAATAAATTATATAAACTAAAATAAATAAATAAAGGTTTTCCCTTGGATTGTTGTTTTTTCTATGCTATTAATCAAAGCAAAGTTTATCGACCCAAAATAAAATAAAATTCAAATCAAATCAAATTTTTTTATTTTTATTTTTATATTTTTTGTCCTTTTCATTTTGGTCATGTGAGTTAACCATCACAAGTCCTCTTTTCTCCCCACATCATATTCCCTACATTAAAGTCCCATAGTAATTTTTTGGGTCTTAAATAGTTAGTTTACCCTAACTTACATACTTTTAATTGGAAGTACTTTGTAAGGAACCACTTTTACTTACAAGCGCGGTAAGATAACAACTATTTTATCACGTTTTTATAGTCCAAAAAGCGCTTTCAACTAAATATGCCAAACACAATTTTGGTCATATTAAAGACTAACGAATCCCAAGATTTCAAAAAAGCATGCACCTTCTCCCAAGAAATAGAAGTGCTTGACCACAAATTTACAGATAAAACGTTGATTAAGACTTTAGGCAGTCCTAGAAGGACATGGACACCAACAATATCTTGCATTGAGGAGGACTATAGAATATCTTGAGTTGACTTGAGATAGTGCATGAGCTCTAGGACACCCTTACAATCTATTTGGCCAAGACAAAGTTCCATCCATAAAGACAAGGCCCTTATCGGAGGCACTTATTACCGGGAAGGCTCAAAATGGGCAAAATTAGAAAAGTTGGGAGGGAGCAGAAATTCGGAATTTGAGTCTCCATACAATCAGTCTCGTTCGACTGTTTCCAACCAGGCCTCAGACCAATTGGCTCTGGAATGCAAGGTTGAATGTTCCACACTAAACCCAAGTCTTTCCGAAAACTTCACCAACCAGGCCTTGGTCCAAGATTTCATTATTTCCAATATAATTGAAAAACTGTATAAAAAAATCAAGTTTGACATGTGAATTTTCTCCAATTGTGAAGATCTATCATCTCTGTCTCAAGTATGATCAGAGTCCAAAATGATCAACAGATGAAGGAAACTTCGCATGAATTAAAGATGATCTGTTTTAGTCAGGTAAAAATAAAATGATTACAAGTGCTATTTCTTACATGCATTAACAATCAGAGAATCAAAATTTTGACTAGTACAAGATACTCCACCCACCAAGTACGACACTCCTAGAAATTCAGGCTGCCTGTTAGAATAGATTATCAGGAAGAAAGGAAAAGAAAAAACCCAAAAATGAAAAGGAAGAAGCTGATCTGGTATCCTCCATTTCCAACTCCCATCAGGACTGGTATTTCACCTTGTTGCAGCTCTTGCACTCATGGATGAGTGGTAGTTGGTGCTCCTTTGTTTCCTGTAAGAAGAATAAACATCATCGTACTGGCTTGCCTCATTTGGATCAGCTGTGGCCCCAAGTCCCAACCTCCCCCAGCCACTCTTTCGATCTACACTGCCATCCGCATAAGTTCCTGTCTCCGGGTCTATCTGCAGGTTTGGAGGTGGAGGGATGCAAGCTCCACCCTTGCGCACCGAAGGCTCTCTTTCATACTCATCCTCGTCCCTACCATCGGCATTATGAAGGGGCCCTTCAGAAGGATTAACTTCACCAATCTCTTTGAAGAATTTTGACACTCTCTCAAGAATTTCTGATTGAGGTACATTGGATGGAGGTATAACAGTTGGAATGTCCAAAGGACTCATTGGAGAATACGGCACACCACTTCCAATCTGCATCTTTCTGACCATTTCAGGAATAAGACCAGGTGGAAACAGAGGATATGGTGGTAACTTCTCACCACTATTAGCAGGTTGACCTGGCAGTATGTGTGGTGCAGGTTGTTGGTTTATTACTGGTTGAACAGAAGATGGTATGGGCATTGACCCTTGAAAAGCAGCAGGAGGGATTGAATTTGGAAGAAATTGCTGGGATGGCACGGACAGCGGCATGGCTTGGCCAGGACCTGCATGTTTATCAAGATGATCTTGGTCGTGTGAACTGGAAACAGAGCTTTGCCTATCAGGCTGCCATTGCAGCATGTTATGGTTAGTTGTCTGTTGTGGCAATCCTGCATTCAAATAAAAAAGATAATTACTATATCAGCCACATCATCAAACCCAGTTGCTGGCAATTTAACAGCACTACTGGCCCACAAGCGCAAGCACCCTTGACAAGTGAGAGTGGTTCCACTAAAGGGCATGTGCTTAACAAGCACAGAAGTCAGAACACAAAAGCCTACCTGCAGCTGAATCTGTTGAAGCAGAAGATGAGTCTTTTGGAAGCCCTGTAAAAGAATTGCTTGAGGGTCCACCCATCATCTCATTCCTAAGTGCATCAATAGTATCCTGATCGTAAATGTTATTAGAAGCCCATAACTGTAAAATTTGCTGCAACCTCAATTGATTGTCCTCCGTGATTTGAGGGTTGTGATAAATCCTTGCAAGCATGGAACCTAAGATAGGTTTAAGCGCAAGGGATTCATTATCAAGGCCTTCACCAGTACGCCGATGCGAGCTGTAAATTTGAAGGCAAAAAGAGGAAGATCAAAGAATTATTCACATCAATCAAGTGCCTCTGTAATAAACAAATGCAAAAGGCAAACAAGAGAAGACATCTCTAAGTTCTTTATTCACATTGTCGTCATAACTATACACTCCAGGCTAGATACTAGAAGCATTGTAAAGCACATAAACAAAGATATGGACTTTTTCTTGGTATGACAGATTGAGTTTTTTCAGTACAAGTTCTTTACTACCGTAAAGAGACAATAGCTATGACAAACTTATAAATGATCTGCCAACCCCTGTGGCAAGAAAGAAGAGTTAATTCATATCTCAAGAAAGAAGAGTTAATTCATATCTCAAGAAAGGTTCATCCACCATCCCCTGTTACAATTTTATAAATTTAACATTTTAAGTTTTCCACACCTTCCAACACAGGTCACATTCACAACCCCTCCCCTCTCCCTGCATAATAGTGCAAAAACCCATTGAAGGCATCATCCTTCTCATTTCTTCACACAAAAACATCATCCGAACCCCTACCCATCAATTATTATTATTATTTTTTTTTTTGAGAAATAAGAACTACAAGTAACAGGATTGAAGTCTTCAATGATTTAATGAAAATATGATACATCCGCGATGTGGATTGTAGAGCATAGCAAACGCTCAAAAACTACAACCACAAATAATGACTCTACTTTTTCTTCCATCCATTATTCCTTCCAAATTCCCAGTGACTGTTGCTCCTGCACGCACAGGTCCAGCTCAACAAACAAAATTCTTATCTTTTCAGAGCTACATTGGCCCAACAAAATCGACCCAAAGCACAAGCAACAAAGCACACATGTGCAGGAAAATGCAAAACAAGAACTCTGTAAAACCATGAATAAGCAATGCACCATTTGAATTACCTGTCAAACAAAATGTCATTGGCAAGGTAAATCACATGCAGTTGCCTCTCACAATCATCCAAGCCAAACACCCTCTCTCTAAGAGCTTCAGCCAGAGCAGGCGCAAATATCGACCTCTGCATAAACCAAAATTTCGCTCCTTTAATGGACTCTTTGGTCCCATTCAGCGACTTCAGCACACTATTCAGCTCTATCGCAACCTCAGGCGGAAGCGGGCCAGAAAGCCCTTTGAAGGGCTTGTTCGACGACTGGTCGTACTCTGGACGCCCATAAACTCCAAACGGCTGACCGTGCCGCTGCTGCTCGTAGAAATAAGACGGCAGCGGCCCACCCATCATCGCCCCGGCAGACGGCGGCCCGTTCATCATGGGGTTCGGCGGAGGTCGCAGCATGTGCATGGATGCAGGGGGGAACCCGGGCTGGTTGAATGACCCGCCGGGGCCCCACTTCGATATCCAGAGCTTGTAGAGGTGGGAGCCGTGGCCCTCGGCGGCGAACCACAC